GAAGTTGGTTTTGCTGGAATTAGACAAATGCAGGTGGTAACAAGAGCTAATTATATAACAGTGTTAATGTGAGAGCTCTGAAAGGACAGCAAGCATTTTTCCATTGATCCTAATCTGTTTGGGAGCAAGCAGCACCTGGGAGAAAACATTTCCCATGAAAATGGAAGTCTGGGGGAGCTCAGCACATGGTCTTCTCCCAGGATTCTTTTTTATGCTGAATTTGAGCATAAAAAGGGGGAGGTAAGAGCTGGACAAGGACTAAAAAAAAGTGATAGCACAGAGGAAATCAAGCAAACCAGTAAAATAATCTAAAATGCATCCCTGGGATTGCTCAAGGCCAGGTTGGACAGGGCTTGGAGCAACCTGGGCTAGTGGAAGGTGTCCCTGCCCACGGCAGGAGGTTGGAATGAGATGAGCTTTAAGGTCCCTTCCAACCCAAATCATTCTGGCACTGTATGAAATTTTGCTTACAAAGGCTGCTGTGAACTTCTGGCTTTCTATGTTTCATGTTCAAGGTTTGCAGCTCCCCAGCTCCAGCGTCAGTGATCCGAGGGGTTGTTGAAATGATTTGTGTTACAGCAGTAAAAAAAAATATTTGCACGTGTGTAAATTTGGGAAACAAGACCTAAAGGTGAACAGAAAGCAGGAGCTGGGTCTCAGGGCAGGTAACAGGAGGGTGGTTGTACCTCTGGAAATGAAAACCCCTTGTTTAGGAAAAGCTCTTCTGGCAGTGTTGGCTGTAAATGTCCCGTGGTGCTTCTTCAACAAGTCAGGTTTACTGGAGTGTCCCGACCTCCCGAGTTCCCCTCCTAAATCTCCTGTGTGCAGCACCCAGTGTTTTATGGTTACCAGCTCTGCCTTGTCAAGGGCTGTATTTTCAGTATATAGAGTGTTCTGGGAAGTCTCTATTTTAGCAGCTGGTCAAATGGGTGTCAGCAGGAGCCTCTGTAGGCTGGGGGTTAACGCTGGTTGGAGACAGTCGCCGACTCAACCCCTATTTCAGCAGCTTTAGTTTTGTTTCAGTCCTGGTTCCTCCACCTGCTTGCAGATCTCAAACCACCCTTGCTGTGCCTTCTGACAAAATAACGTGGAGCTTCATTAGAGTGTAAAAATCCAGTGAAAGGGGAGCAGTGGGATGCTGGCTGTGGGTTCATGCTCAGGACACAAAGTCCCCGTGGTGCACCGGCGCAGTGAACGCTGAGCACAGTTGGCTCCTTGGTTCTGTCACCTGGCAACGTGAGCCTGCCTCGCTTTTGGGGGAAGGTGCTGATATTTTTCATAGGATAATTGGCTGATGTCTGCTTTGCCAGGACATAATAATGACGGAAAAGTTAATTTTTCTCTTATTTCTTTGCTAAAGGAAGGAGGTAAAGGATGGCTTCGGTTCCCTCGGTCTGGGATATAAATTTGCTTTTGACTTTAAGAGAAGCAGCATTTTGGGGTGCAGAGGTAGAAATTAAAAATTAGACCTTTTTAACCCTTTTGTCAGAGAAATTTACTTTTTCTTTTAATGCACCATGATGCTTAATGTCTGTTTTTTAAAAATATCCCCTTATTAGCACCTGTTTCTCATGCTGGAAGGAGGAGAGTTACCACCTGAATGGGAGCATAAAAACACAGGTATAAGAGAGTTCTCCTTCCTGTTCAAAGTGATTGAACATCAAAAGTCTTCCCTGCATAAGAAATCCCACTGTTTTCTTAAACACTCTTTCGAAAAGCTGTTTAAATCCAGTGTTTTTAACTTTGACATGTTTGGGGGTTGTGTCATGTCCCTCAGGGAGATGGAGCAAACCCTTAATGGTATTAAATTTATTACCATAACTCAAAATGCATTAGAATCATTGCGTTATTAAGGTTGGGAAAGACCTCCAAGATCATTAAGTCCAACCTTCAAGCAAATGCCATAATTCCCACATAGAGATCAGGAGCACAGAGGGTGACAGAAAATTTGTTGTTACCTCTTCTAAACTGTCACGTTTTGAATTGCACAGAGCAAGGACAGAGGTGACCAGCACTTGAAAATCCCTGCCTGTGATCAGCCTCATCATACAGGTACATCACAGTGTATTAAGTGATATTAATGTGATTTGACTGGGATGTGGATGTGTGTGTTTATACAGCTCAGCCCATTAACTCAGGACAAGTGGACACCCCTGAAGAGCACAGGACACCAAGCACCCAAATGAAAATGTCAATACTTATTAAGAATGGAGCCTTTTTTACATTTTCCTGAAAACTATAATTTAGTTTTTTGTTAAAATGTGGAATTTGCTTTCTTTGGAAGGTGTGGGAAAGCTCTTTGTAGCCCAGTGGCTGCAGCCCTTTGAGAAGCCAAAGCCTCTGCAGAGGTAATTCCAGGATCACTCTGCCCTTGCAGGATCACAGCATTTCTTCCAATTGGATCATTCTCCCACTTCCACAGTGAAAGGATGTCTTCAAACTGGTTTCCCAAATCAATTATATGTTGGTGTTTTTAAAAAGCCTGAGACTGGGAAACATCCAAACTGATGCAGTTTAAAATGGGGTAAAATAAATATGGTTTAATGGTGGCACATTGTGAGGTCAGGACTCTCAAAAAATCACAGATGAAGAAGTGGGGGGTGCCCTCCTTGCATCCTCCGAGCCAAATGTGCAGTAATAAATATTAAATGATGTTTCTAGCTAGCAGATGATCTGTATTCCACAGCTGTATTTCATGCATTCCAGACAGAGAAGTGAATTAGCATCCCATGGAGATATTTTATTTATGCTTTCTTGTTTCCAAACTTGAGAAACACAGACCCGGAACTCAGAAACACAGAACTTCTCTTAGTTAATACAGGTTTTAATGTCATTTCGCTGGAATTTAATAATTTAAGATGAAAATAGAAAACAAAAAGTCCTTGAACTTATCATGGTTTGGAACTGAAAATCAGCAGGGTTTTTTAGCATCCAGTAAAGACCAGACAACTAGAAATGCCAGGAGAATTTTTAAAATTTCATGTTGCAGAGAAATGAGGAAAACCTTCATTGGATGTGAGTCTTCTCATAGATTTTGGGTTCATTGCAGCCCATCTAATGTCCTCAGTGGGTTTAACCTGCTTTACCATGTTGCAATTGAGAGCAAAATACATGAAAACACCTGAGTTTGACATTCACTGTTTATGGTCTTATTTGAAAGGACATCTCTGTGTATAATAAGTTCAGATGGAATAGTATTCATCCCTAGATTTCAGGGAAATCCTATGGAATATCATTGCCTGATCACAACAACTGGCCTAAGCTTGGAGCATCGTAGTGCTCGAGTTACTGCAAGTATTTTTACAGACAGTTTTGCTCCCCTGTGTGTTTGGGGAGGGGATCTTTGTTTGCTTGTTTGTATTCTGGGAGATGTTGGTGTTTGAACCACCTGGGGGCAACAACAGGACAGAGACATCCCTGGCCACACTTTAACCTTTTCCACTAATCCCACACACTGGGAGAAGTGTTCCAGGCCAGGGTGAGCCCCCTGCTCTGGTGGAAGGTGTCCCTGCCCGTGGCAGGGGGTTGGCATTAGATGATCGTTGAGGTGCCTTCCAACCCAAAGCATTCCATGATTCTGTAATATGGAGGGTATTTAAGGGATTTCTTGCTGTCACTGAAAGCTATTGCTTGTGTTTGGGAGTGGATAATGTCACTGGGAATATGGCTGGAGAGGGGACTGGCAGCTCAGGAGAGGAATGCCAGCTGGAGCTGGAACAGGAAAGGATGGAGAAATAAAATCCTTGGATGGCAGCAGGTACAAGGAAAGGGGGTGCTTGGAGGAAGGAGGTGTGACAGCTGGGGTTCCTAAATCACTTGTTTGGAGGGAGAGGCTCTCCCTAAGTTTGGGAATAGCCATGGTGGGCTGGATGAGAGTGGGGCTGGCAGGCAGACAGGCTGCTCCATGGCACTCCTGGTCCCAAAAACCTGCAAGTGCTGCTTTAACATCCTCAGCAGTGGCACTCGGGTTCTTTTTCTCCTTCTTGAGACCCCAGATTTGGACACACACAGAACTATCTTTTTACCATTGCAATTCTCTTGCAGAGTGCACCACAGAGGACCTTTGTGCCTCCAGGCTCCATGGGCTACCTCAGAGGGTTTCCCTGGCTGCAGAGGAAAGGCAAGGCTGGAGCTCAGCGAGCTTCCCATTGTTTGCAGGTGGCTTGTTTTCCAGCATCTCACTGGAACTGGAGCCTGCACATGTCTGCCCACTGTTTCCTGATACAAATTTCCCTTTCCAATGATGCTCTTTGGATTCCTAGTCCAAGGTGTACAAGTTGTTGGGAGGCTGGCCCAGCACTGATGCCATTGAATGGAGATTACTTGGAAACTGTTGAACCACTGGTCATCTGGAATCCGTTTCATTGCTGCCAGGGGAAGGGAGAACAAAGTGCTCCAATTAGCTGCTGCTCATTTTCAACCATGTCAGTTAATTAGCTGAAGACCCACCAGATGGGGAAGGATTTGTCACACAGCTTTCAGAGGCCCAGGCACTGCTCGTTGCCCAGTTTCAAGCACTTGGGGTTTTTAATTTTTCCCTTTTTCCAGGAGGCTGAATACAGGAGGGGAAGGTGGACTCCCAATTCATTGTTCCTTTAGGTGCTCCTTAGGCTTCAGTTTCCAGCACACTGATTGGAACCCAGGTGATTTTGTCACCTAAAACTGTCTCTCATCAAAGATCCAGTTGCTCTTTATCACGGTGGATGTGAAGTGGGAATGAAGTCAGGCCTTCAGGTACATTTGCTATGGAATTTGTGTCTCCCAGGCAGCACCTGCCCACTGCCCTGGTGATCTTGGAACCACAGAGACAGAGGCAAGGAGATAAGTCCTAACTTCCAGGCTTGTCAGGGGTTCCATAGGGCTTTCCAGGGAATCTCTGTGACACAGGTGAGCACGGGGAGAGGTGTGGAGCTGCCCAGCATTGAGGAGTGATTTGGGGATTGCAGATTGAGCCTTGAATAAGGAGCTGGGAAATCTAAGTCTCCTCTTTCCTCTTCCAGCACAGCTACAAGAATCTTGGAGAAATATTATCTTGGCCTGTCAGTGGACACACAGGTGAGTCCATGTCATAGACTGTGATTATGATTATATGTCACAGTGTCACTGTTCCCATGTGAGCACCTGCCTCCAAGAGCTCTGATCGTGACTTGTCCCCGTGGCAGGGGCTCATCTGCACATTTGCCTCCAATCCCTGAATTTTTCAGAGAACTCTGCTGCAAACAGAGCTTGTGCCCTGCTTCCCCAGGCACTTGTCTCTGCATCCCTGAGCTCAGGCTCCTCCACGATTTCTCGCTTCCTTTGACATTTCTTTTATTGCTCTCCCGTGCACCAGCTCACACTAACACATGTTAGAACAGCAACATCTTTTTGTAGCACTGGTTTTAATTAGTCTGCACCTTCCCCTGGGATGGCTGGTTGCTCTAAAGCTTTCTGCAGGTGCCTGCTTTGTGCTCTGTGACTCACCACATTACCTGCAGGTGACACAATACAGGAGCTCCTGGTGCTTGTTGCTGTTTAGGTGACTCCCTGAGTCCTCCCCAGCAAGCAGAATTCTCTGATCTTGGGTGATGAAAATTACTGGCAATGTGGAAAGAAAATTTTTAATGATGAGGGAAGGGAAAGATGAAGGTGGGCGCTTTCAAAGCTCCTTCTGTGATTTTGGTGTTCAGAGCCCCACTTGTTTGAAGGGAAACCAGTGTCTGAGTCCCGCTGAAGGCTTTCAAGAACTCTTTGTTTCAAAATATGTCAAGAACAGAAATGGAGGAAGAAGTTTACAAAGATAAATAAAGCAATAGATGATGCAGTGCAAAGAAGTTATTTTATCAATGTTTGGCTGTACTTGCGATGACTAAACACAAGAGTAACTGGCAATGAAGTTGTATCACAGAATGTGCTGAGTTGGAAGGGACCCACAAGGAGCATCGAGTCCAACCCTTAGCTCTGCACAGGACCATTCCCAAGAGTCCCACCCTGTGCCCCAGAGCATCATCCAAACCCTCCTGGAGCTCTGGCAGCCTTGGGGCTGTGCCCACTGCCCTGGGGAGCCTGGGCAGTGCCCAACCACCCTCTGGGGGAAGAACCTTGTTCTAATATCCAACCCAAACCTGCCCTGACACAACTCCAGTTGTGCTGCAAGGGCCTGCAGACCCTCTCTCTGAGTCTGCCACACCACACTTTCCTATCATCAGACCCCTGTACAGAGCCTTTGATAACTTCCCAGTTTCCTGTGTTTAGCTGGTGGGCTCCATAAACCTTCACTAATTGTTTTTGCATCCTACATCTTCTCATTACAGCACGTTTGCCTGAACCTCCGTGCCATGCTGTTCACAGCAAGTTTTGTGAAACACATCAGATCATCAGCAGTTTTTGCTTCTCTGAGTCATGGAAAACATAAAACCTGGTAATTCTTTCTCAGTTTGCTTTCTGACACCTGAGATCTTGACTTTGCTTGTGTGAGCTGCATCCTGGCCCACTTAATTAGACTTCTGTTTGTGTGCTGTAGCTGATAAACTAGCTGTAATTAAAGTATTTATTATAACTGATCATTCTGTGTAGAATCACAGAAGGTTGGAAGGGACCTTAAAGCTCATCCAGTCCAACCCCCTGCCATGAGCAGGGACACCTTCCACTATCCCAGGTTGCTCCAAGCCCATCCAAGCTGGCCTTGGACACTTCCAGGGATGGGGCAGCCACAGCTTCTCTGGGCAACCTGTGCCAGGGCCTCCCCACCCTCACAGCCAGGAATTTGTTCCAAATATCCCATCTAAACCTCATGGTGTGAAGTGCTGTAATATTTTCTTATACCAAATTCCTATGGATTTCAACAAGATTTTAGAATAAATTAGAGGAGGGTATAATTTCTGTATGGGAATGTCTGCATTGGACCAGCAGACCAGTGGGAATATGGGAAGATCAGAGCAGAATTGTTTCTAAGAGAGCTTGAGTTGTTTCTGAAGCAGAGCACCAGTGGTCAATATTGCATGTTCCACTGAATTATTGTCTTCATGAAGATTAATAGTGGTTTGAGGCCCTAAGCAATAGTGCAATCCTAGTTTATTTTAGCTTTAATTCATAATTTAGTCTTCCCTTCTTGCCTGGTGGTGTTGAATGTCCTGCTCTGTTCTCTTGTTATGTCCATGAAAAACGGGTGTGAAGCCAAAAGCAGAGATTAGAATTTGAGCCTTTGCTGCTGCTCCTCTCAGCAATATTGATCACTTCAATTATTGCCCTTTCAGGAATGAAGCCTGAAAAGGCACAGAGCAGTGGCAACAGCAGCCAAGAGGCAGAAATGCCTGTCCCTGGTGCCAGAAGCAGGGCTTTGGTCCTCCCCTCCTTGCAGGAGGAGGAAACACTCGACCCTTCATCCAAGTGCTCGGTGAATGTGTGATGGTCCCACATCAAGCATCACTCAAAAAAGCATTTTGTTCTTGGGTGTCTTCTGATTTCCTTGTGATTTACTGCATTTCTATTTCTGCCATCCATGGCCTGTGAGTGTGGACTGAGCAGCTGCCTGTGCAAGTGCTGCTTTTGTCTGAGACACTCAAAGACTCAGGAAAATCCACAAAAAACTCTTGCTTTTTAAGACACTGTGATTTCTGAACCTTCACTTCTCTGGCAGATTAATAGCTTTGGATGTATGAATTACCTTTTTAACTATTGATAAACCATCAGAGGAAAGAATGTGCTGTGGACTGGATTGGGGTCCAGGAAGGTCATAAGGTTTGTTATAAAATAAAAGCTACAATTTTTACATCCTAATGTCTGAAACTGCATTATGCCAGAAATCCTCTCCCTGATTTCAGTGGAATGACTTGCCTGGCTTGCAGGAAGGTGGCTTATCTTAAGCTGCATTGTCTGTACACTTCAATAGAGCTTAAAAGAGAAAAGTCTGAGAGAAGACAAAGAATTAAGCAGTCGGTGTCATTAAGCCTTCAACATTTGCAAATAGGGCTTTGGCTCAGCTCGACTTCCCAGTGGTAAGTACTTTGTTTGGTCATTTAGTTACTTATTAAAGCCCTCAGAAAGCTTTTTCAGTATTTCTTCTTTTGTTAACTTCTGTCACACAAACTGTGTTTAATGCTTTCTCTCTTTTCCCATCCTCTGGCCCTGCAATATTCGAATTAGGTAAGTAGAGAGTGAAGTGATTTAATTATGAATCTGGAACAAGAAGTTTGCAGAACTTCTTTCTGGCACACAAACAATAATTTTCATGCCACAAGATGAACATTAGTGAATCTGCCATTACATTTATGTGGAACCAAACCTTTTCAGCTCGAGGACCCTTTTCAGCTCAGCTCCACAATCATTTTTTTTGGAGATAATCTGTCATTTGAAAACCTTGCAAGTAGAAATTAGTCCACAATAACCCACCCACAGTCCAAAACAGCTCTGTGGCTTTTTAAAATGTACTGAACAGGCTCCTGAGTGGAGATAAACAGTATTTTAAGCATTTCTGTGACAGGAATTGATGGGGTTTTATCTTTGTGACAGTGTCCACCCACATTTTTTTTTTCATTCATACAATTAAACACCAATTTGCTGGGACAAAAGTGTAGATAAAAGAATTAGCTCTTGCTTCAGTGATTCTTCATTAATAAATGCAGCAGGAATTGGCCTGTGAGGGATGTGACAAGCAAAGTGCTGAGAGATGCTTCACAGAGCAGCAACTATTGCCTTTGCCTCTCCAAGAGCAGTGTGAACAAAGTCAGGCCATAGGAGGGCTGTAGTTAATGGAATAACTCTCTCTTATTGTAAGATTTTCAACAAAAAACCCCCGTTGCTTCATTAGCTTTGCTGCCCTGGAGACCTCCAGGTGAGCTGGGATGATCCCAGGAAGGGCAGTGGCTGCTGGATGGGTACCAAGCTGGTTTATTCCTGCTCAGGACTTGGGACTGTGCTTGATCCTGGTCCATTCTCCACCAGAAAAAGACATGGATGAACCATCCATGCCATAGGCTCGAGTCCCAGTGACATGGACAGCAATGGACTTCCCAAACAGGAGGGCAGGGCCGTGGGCATGGGGAGGCCACAGGCTGCAGTTTGTGGTGAAGTCAAGTACACAGGAGAGCAAAACAAGTTTTCAGGGTGTTCTCAGGCTTGCATTTTATCCCTCTTTGTTTGCTTTGTTCCCAGGTGCCCACAGTCACTGCCTGCAGAGCTTTCAGAGCGGGGTTGGTGTGCTCTGCTCAGTCTCTGACAGGTACCAGAGGTACCACGAGGTGCTCAGCAGGAGCATCACCTCCTGATGTCCAGCTAACTTGGCATCTGCTCTGAAAAACTCATGACCCAACTGTCCCAATGTCAGATCTGAAGGGAATAAGCTCCCAAAATGCTGCTACCTGGTGTTTCCTTTCATACCTGAGACACGCCCCTAACACACCCATTAGATTGTGTGTGAGACAAGGTAATTTTACATGGGAATGACAGATAATTAATTAATTTTTCCTTTGCTGTGGTGTTACAGCCCACGTCCATGTCACTCACCTAATTCCAAGGAAGGGATTATGGCCACCACCACCAGCCCATGGTGCCAGCTTGAGTAACTTCCTACAGGGGACACAAGGTAAGAGCTTTGGAGCATCACCCTGGCACTTTAATAAGGACATTTTACAGTGTTTATTCTGTGATCTACAGCAAACAGAAAAAAAATCGTACACATAAGAAGTCTAAAAAAATTCTACGCTAGATATTTTAATTAAAATTTTTATTTATGATATTTTAGCCCATTTGAAATGTTGGGAATAGCTCTAGGTTTAAAACAGGAAGGATTTTCTTTATCTCCATATTAAAAGCAAAAGGAAAAGGAACATCGTTGTTTTAACATTTTAAGTGCCTTCATGCCAAGTATAAATGAGGATCCTGGATTTTATTTTTTAATGAAACTTAATTCAGCCTAGTTAGGAAACCAATAACCATATTTCCTAATTGAGTTTATTAAAGTAATAAACACAGCTATTCCAGGAAATGAAAACATTTCAGGATATGAAATACAGAGTTCTCTGAAGCAGATATTCAAGTGGGGGTACCTGCCATTTCCCAAGGCATTTTGGTATAAACCAGAGTCCTTTTTTTCTAAAGATGCTGAGTGTCATCCAGTCTCACTGATGTCTGTGAGTGTTACAGGCTCTCAGCATTTTTGAGACCTCATCTGATTTATTTGGATGTTTAAGGTGGATTTAGAGGTCTAATTTTAAGCAATGAGATGCTGCTGTGATTGTCTTAGGCCCTGACTTTCAAAGACAGCATCAGCTTCATTAAGGCTGAAATGACAGAGCTGGAATTGATATTTAATAATGCACTAAACTCTCCTGAGGCTCCAGTGCAGGAATGACAGAGCTCAACAGTTACTAAGAGAGGTCACACAGCAGAGGGTTTGTTATTCATCAGGATCACTGGATTTCTAGACAAGAAAGTGGAAAACAAAAAAATCAGCCTTTTCCCATCAAATTGGAACAGGAATGCTTGGGTTCTTTCTCACCAGGCAAGAGGGCATGAACTTAGAATCTCAGAATGGTTTGGGTTGGAAAGGACCTCAAAGTCCATCCAGTGCCACCCCCTGCCATGGGCAGGGACACCTTCCACTAGCCCAGGTTGCTCCAAACCCCATCCAACTTGGCTTTGGACACTTCCAGGAGCAGCCACAGCTTCTCTGGGCAGGTCATGTGGAATATTTTGCTCTTTTGTCTCTTGAGTCACAATGATGTTTTACCCAGTCTGGGATCTAAACAGGAAAGGTGAAGAAGTCCAGGTCCAGGGCTGGGGGAGGCTTGTGGAAAAGCCTGAAGGAACTGATGTTTCCCAAATCCCAGAAGAAGTGTCTGAAGGGACATTTAGCTCTGCAGTGTTTTTTTGAAACAGGTTTTTCTCTACAACGCTTTTGTTTCAATAAATATTTGTAATTAATAATAAGTATTTTAAAGAGGCTGTTTGGCTGCAGTTATTCCCAGAGGGAAGAGAAGTTTAGGGATGGGCTGTAGCCCATTGGTCTCGGGGAGCAGAGCAGAGATTGGAAGGAAGGATGGTCTTGGAATTGCTGCTGATTCCTTGCACTGACTGAACATGTGGGATCTGAGCCCAGGACACAGATACACTCCCTGTCACAAATTGAAATTCTCCATTTACTCTGTAAAACAGAGATCTTTAAATTGTAAGATGAAAGTTTATAAATTAGAAAGACTTTTTTTCGCCCAAGAAAATGTTTGTTTAGGAACACAGGCAGGTTTATCAAACTTTTTTTATAAATCAACACCCTAATAATGGAGATAAATCATATCCTATAGAGACATCAAGACAGCATTTATGGATAAGTATAGATTTTTGAGTATTGATCCCAAATTGGCCAATTCTTGATATTTCCTCCTTTCTTTTATTCTTTCTGTCTTTCCAATAATTCAG